TCAAACATTTATTTTATGAATTTCCCATTTCACACTTTTTTTGGTAATCAAACATTTATTTTATGAATTTCCCATTTCACACTTTTTTTGGTAATCAAACATTTATTTTATGAATTTCCCATTTCACACTTTTTTTTGGTAATTTTAGTAAAACAGGACTATATTTTATTGGTGACAAAGGATTTGGTGACTTCCTCTGGAGAATAATTTGAAAATATAACACTTACGTAAAACATAAACTATTCCAGGTTAAGAAATTGTAAGAGTAAGTGATTTGCTTATGGTCATCTGTTTTCTGCCATAAACTGCAATAGTATTAATAAAAGATATCATTGTTACTTTAAGTCTTTGTACTAACACAAAGGTGTATGGTCTCACATTACCAGCTTTATACTGCTTATGTTAGTTTCTCTTGACCTTTTCCCCCACCCCTCCCTTTTACTGTGCGCTTCCACTATATTTTCGACTCAAAAAAAACAATCTTATGACTCCTCCGTATATCTTATCTCACTTAATATTAACAGCCCTGTAAAATATGTAGGACAGATCCTCTTATCCCTTTATCTGAAGAAGGAAAGTGAAGCCGAGGAGGAATTAAATAATCACTCCTGCTTTCAAAGCTAGTGAGTAAATCATCTGCAACTCAACCAGTTATTATCTTTACCTTTCAGTTAGGTACATTTTTCTCTGTTCCCCCTTGACCCCCCTTTGAGAATTATACTTGATCCAATAATATCTGATACTGTTCAGTTTCTGTTTAATGATGAACAGTATCCAAAGACTGTTAACGAACACAGATTCTTTTGGGAGGTGTGTAACATCCCTACCCATGCAGACCATAATGTCAATAAATATATGAATAAATCCACTGCTATCATATGCTATCATATGCTCTTAATGCTGGGTTATAACACTTGCTTACTTGTAGAATGCTTTATGGAAAATGTCTCACTTGGAAGTGAGCACTGGTGTTTGAAGGCTGGAAGGCATTCCTTATTCCCTGTGCAATGCACAAGCTACGTGAGGATTGTGCCTCTTCTACTCAGGAACACAGCTTCCTTTCCTTAACTTCTTGCCACCTCTGTTGTTTACATTTCAGCAAAAGTGTTCATTACTGGTATGGTAGTCCAAGGTTTTATGAAAGCCATAGTAGTTGCATCATGGATGAGACAGTGTAATCACAATAGACTAAGCAATGAATATGACCTTCAGAGGACTTGATATTTTCATATGGCAAATGGATAATAATCTGTTGGGTGCTTTACAATTTTTGTTTATGGCTGAGTTCTGAAAGTGCAAGGGAAATTGAGAACAAATTTTTTTTGGCTCCCAGTTTCTTCACTCCTTGAGTACCTACACTTAGCAGTGAGGAATGTATCGTGTTTAATGTCATCCTTGCAAAGTCAGGAGTGTCAGTTTCTGCCCTTAATTACTAGCTGGGGGAATCTGAATATGTCATTTAACTTGTATAACCTTAATTTTCTTTTTTCTTCAAATGGGAATAAT